GTGTCTGTACTGCTTTTCCTCTGTTTAGAATGCTCTTTTCCTGCTTATTTGCATGCGAATCCTTTTAGCACTTGTATTAAACCTTTAGAGAGATTTAACAATCCCTTCTATATTCTATATATTCCCTGGTCATAGCTCTCTATTTCCTTCATTACACTTACATGTTTTGATTAATTGTCTGCATTCCTCACTCCTTTGAAATGTAAACTCCCGGGCCCAGTGCAGTGGCTCAAGCCTGTAATCCCAGAACTTTGGGAGTCCAAGGCGAGTGGATCATTTGAGGTTAGGAGTTCGTGACCAGCCTGACCAACATGGTGAAATGCCATCTCTACTAAAAATACCAAAATTAGCCGGGAGTGCTGGCACGCACCTGTAATCTCAGCTACTTAAGAGGCTGAGTCAGGACAATCACTTGAACCCGGGAGGCGGAGGTTGCAGTGAGCTGAGACTGCACCATTACACTACAGCCTGGGCGACAGAGTGAAATTCCGTCTCAAAAAAAAAAAAAAAAAAAAAAAAAAAAAGTAAAGAAAAGAGAAATATAAGCTCCTGGAGGACAGGGATTCATTATTGGATCCTCAGTATGTAGTACACTTGAGTATCTCTTAAATAACAGAAGGAACAATAGCTCAAGCCCAGATACAGGTTTTACTCAAAGCAATATAAATATAAACATAAAGGAAAATATAACCTTTATGATAAGGATCCTGTTCTTGTCTTCCTTTCATTTCCAATGTTGTCTTTACACTGAGAGATTTAATGTCCATGTTGATAACTCATTTAATAATTTAGCCTTGAACTTCCTGGATATTCTCCCCCAGATGTGAAATTTTTCACTCTTGATCTACTTCAACCATCTCCTTCTACTTTTAAAATCTTAAGTTCCAATAGTCCACCTGTGATCATAAACTTCTTGCCTTCTAGTTTTCTTACTTTCATTTCACCTGGAAACTCAAGGCATAGGGAGTCTCACTGGGATCTGAGTCAGGGTTCAGGAAACCAAGGCATCAAATTAAGAGGCAGAGCATCTGCACCTGTCAGGGGGCAGGGATGTAAAAGGGCATGGGTGCTCAGGATGTCCAAGAGCAAAACTTGGATACCAGAACGTGGTCAAACCAACAATTTTAACCCAAACGTATACAGATACAGGGGCAGAGAAGACACAGCATCAAAACCAAGGGAGTATGGTCAGGCAGACAGAAACTGGAAGACTCACATAAGGGGCCAGAGATAATGACTGGTGATTTTCATTGCTTCCCCAAGCTATCTGCAAACTACTGGAATGGGTAGAGGGAAGGGAACAGGGGTGGAACTGGAGTTCTTGGAAACCCAGAGCCACCGCTTACCAATTATGATGACCTGGCTTCTGACTCTACCATCTCACCAGATCTGCCTCTTGCCAATGATGTCCTTCAATCCAGTTCCAATAGGCAGCTTTCAGTCTTCATTTTCCTGGGCCTCTTGTCTCCATTGGACTTTGCTGATGGCCCCTTCCTTCTCAAAATGCCATACTCTCTAGGCTTCCATGACACCACATTCCCTAGTTCTCTTCTGACCACTTTGACTGCTTCTTCTCTGTCTCTGCCAAGGAATACTGACTCTCTTTCACCTTCCAACTTGTGTTCCTCAAGGTTTGCTTGTGTCTTCTTGTTCCTTTTTTTGTTTGTTTGTTTGTTTGTTTTTTGAGACGGAGTCTTGTTCTGTCACCCGGGCTGGGGTGCAGTGGCCGGATCTCAGCTCACTGCAAGCTCCGCCTCCCGGGTTTATGCCATTCTCCTGCCTCAGACTCCCTAGTAGCTGGGACTACAGGCGCCTGCCACCTCGCCCGGCTAGTTTTGTGTACTTTTTTTTAGTAGAGACGGGGTTTCACTGTGTTAGCCAGGATGGTCTCGATCTCCTGACCTCGTGATCCGCCTGCCTCGGCCTCCCAAAGTGCTGGGATTACAGGCTTGAGCCACCGCGCCCGGCCGTCTTCTTGTTCTTTAATTTTACCTATTCTTAACAGCGATCCCTTTCACTGCCATGTCTGCTACTAACACCAAAATTCTCGTGACTCTGAATACCAAATTCACATCTCTTGCACAGTTCTTTTATGCCTGAGTTTCAGAAATGTGTGATCACTCTCCCTGGATTTTTCCCAGACACCTTAAGCTCAACATGTCCCAAAGAGAATTCCTAGTCTTCCTCACGCAATCTCCTATTCTAGTACTGCTTATTTTAGTTGGAAGTTCTATCATCCGCGCAGTCACCCAAGCAAAAAATCTAGAATTCAAACTTGACTGGTTCCTCTCCCTCACTACCCGTATCTATCATTTAATTCACTCATTCAACAAACTTTAATCAAGCCCTGTGATTTACCAGGTATTGTTCTAATTGTGGGCTAAATTGTGGTAAGTGAAACGGATATAATTTCTATCTTCATTAAGAATATCAACTACTGGCTGACTTTGTCTCTAAAGTGATTTTTTTTTCCCCAGCCCTCCTCTTTTTTTTTTTTTTTTTAACTAGCAGTAGTTGGCTTGTAATAGATGCTCAATTAATCCTTATTGAATGAATGAATACATGAGGATGTAACTATCTGAACATCTGCTGTCTACATAGCACAGAATATGACACAGCAATTTGATGCCATTAAACATATTTCTAAGCACACATTATGAATGAATAGAAGCCAAAACATCTGGCCAATTTAGCTGGAATACCCCCAGTGAAGCATTAGTATGCTTTATCTGTGTTATGCAAACACTCAGATGGTCGGGGCTTCCGTGGAATTGACTGGGTGTTTTGGCACAGCATAGGCCCAGCCAGACCAGTCTTGATCTCTTCCAGGGACAAATTATGTCTCTGAATTGCACATATGGCTGACTGACTTCCAGAGTTAGGCATAAGTACAAACACTGAATACTTGTGACTGTTTTAATAGGCTCAGTAATTTCCAAAATATTATTGGTGGCACGTGGTTATTCATGAATATCAGCACACATTCACTGGCTCTTCAGTCTGAAGGCATCAAAATGAATTCAGATTATTCGTGCTGAAGATGGCACAGATGGGTTACATCCAGGCAAAACTTGGGTATCATAAAAAATACATGGTATGATTAAACAAGAATAACAATCTCTAGCTAATAATGACATCTCGTAGAATAGGTATTTGGTGGCATCAGGAAATATCTTTAGGAAATCAGCAAATAAATATTTCAAGTACTCCTATACAATTTAACCAGATCAATCAACTATAGAATAAAACCAAGAACCTCCACCTCCCTCTTCTTGGCTCTCAGTTATTAGTAGCAAGTTCATGTACAATACAGATTAGAACATTAACGGATTATCTTAATTCCTACAATCAGTTTAACTGGAGAGATTCCTCAAAAATAAAAAAAAAAAGACAAAACAAAAACTAAAACTGAGAGAGACAACTTTATGCTGAGGTCTTCAGGATGAGGCATGCATTTCTTTCTCTTTAAATAATCAGCATTCAGACCCAAGCTAACAACAGGCAAAAGCAGCAGAAAAGGCACTGTCAGCTGGTCATGCACCCACTCCAGGAAGTATATAACACCATTATTTTATAAAACAGCAAACTGTACCATGCATACCAACTCAGAGATGGAAAGAAACTAGGCATTGCAATCAGTTATGACTTGTGTGGGCATAATAATTTTGGGGTGAAATTAAATACTCATAAAAAAGCTGTCAAAGACCTAAGAGTCAACTCTTGCAAGGCATGCAGCCTAGATTCAACCTGCAGTTTTTCCCAGTGGAATCTGGCCCTCATTTTCTCATAGTTCCTCCCTCACAGATCCAGAAAGAAACCAGATAGCCTAGTCTCAGAGTGCCCCATCAAACTTTCAAATGCAGAAGAAAGAGGGGAGACTGTCAGCATTTTAACCTTTTCCATTTAAAAAATTTTTAGGCAGACAGATTTTTCTTACCTACAAGTTAATGAGAAATGTTCAGGTCTATGGAATTTAAAAATTAACCCTTATATGTCTTCATAAAACTCCAGACACTATTGGCTGGGTACTTCATGGTACGCTCAGCTTCTGCTTGGTTGAGGATCTTGTCAGAAACTGTCAGATAACTCTTAGATAAGTGTTATATATTGGCTATCTTTATTTCCTTCTCTAAAAATGTATAGTACAGTCACACCATTGAACTTACATGAATTCAACTAAATGTGCTGTAGGTAAAAGGGAAAATCCATATTAGAGCAGGTAATTTTGCCACGGCTCTGAGCAAGCATTCTGGGAGAACAGAATCTCTGTGTCCACCTTGGTTCTTGACCTGGCTCAGCCTCAGTTCTCTAAGTGCTTCTTGGAGTCTGAGCATCTCATTGGGTTTAATGTGATTTCAATATTTGAATAAATTATTTAAAAATAATTTTGGTTATTGGTGATCTACTCCTTATGTACTGACTTTGCAGCTCTGTCCTTCATAGAAGATGCAAATCCGTGTTATATAAAAATAGCATCATGTGGGCATCTTTGAAATTGCATGCTCCTACTGAACTCCCTGACTCCGACCATCACTTGGTGCTACTTTCCTGTTTCCAAATCAGCAGTGCCCTCCTGATTTTGAATCTCAGAGGGCGATGCAGAACTGATGATGGTCAGCTACCGAAAAAGGGACATTATCATGTACTTGACCCTCCCCTTTAGTTTAATAACAGAGGGTTTATTTTTCCCAACATGAGTGGTTTTTTGGTAAAATTACAATTCAGCTTCACATAATATTTATTTTTAGCTAGGTTACAAAAAAAAAAGAGAGAGAGAGAGAGAAGGTGTTAGGAACCCTCTGGCATTTCTGGCATTTCCTGAAATTGCATAGGAGGTTAATTCTGTCCTGAGGAGACACAGAGATAGTTTGATCATTTGCAATTATGGTGCTCATTGGAGAAAAGGTTAAAGATGAATCAGTTTTCTCTGAGGCGTCTGGATTGGAGATGCACACGAGCATGCATTCATGGCCAAGCAGAAGGAGGAAGAGAGGACTTACATTCTGTTTCCCCACGATATTATCAAAGGGTAGCTCAGGGCTCCAGGATCCTTCAGTGAACGTGGCCCCACTGTTTCTCCGGTCTGAGGAGCTCACTGACTCCTTGACGATATCTTCAGGCAAGGACAGCAGGCTGTCCTCAGGCTGCTTAATTAAATAAGTCTCGATATTATGCTTCCTCAGGAATTCATTCCTCTCTTTACCGTGACCCTCTTCCACGTTATAGTCACCGTTGAGGCAGTCCAGCGTGGCTTTGGAAATGTGAATCCTCCTGTGTGTAGAAGGCATAGGTCATTACACACTCCTGATGTTGCCTGCAAAGGCTATATATTTTTTGTCCTGTACAAAGCCAGCACCAGGATTACACCTGGGTATTATTAGGACATGTCCTCAAGGGCAATACTTGTCTTCCTAAAAAGTAGAAAGAATAAAATAAAATAGAAGCATAAATTCATGAGCACAGTATCACGGGCATCGCCCCAAGAGACACTGCTGCCTCTGATAAAATACAGCCCTTCTGAGCGACACCTAAGCACATCTTTTGGCTTTTCTTATGATTGTCAGCCTGATCCCAGCAAACTTTACAAAACAGTGATTTTTTTTTTTCAGTGGTGTTGATTATATCGGAAAAACAAGTGCTGCAAATGTTTCTGAACCCCAGTGGCAATTATTATCCAAATCACCAAGCAAAAACAGTTCTTTCATCATCTTGGAACCTGTCCTAGCATTTCAGTCTTCGTGTATTTGTATCTTGTTTTTCCAACTTGTCTATCTTCCTCTCAAGGGTGATTCTGATAAGTCCATAGGGCTGCACTGAGGGTCCTTTGGGAAAACCACTTTGGGTGCAATTTCCCCTATAACATGTATACCATAAGGAGCAAAGAACAAAGCTGTGGACATGTGCAGGCTGGCAGCTGACTGGGCTCACTCACAAGTGAAGTGACTCATGGCTGCACAATTGTCAGCCACCGTAGCTCATGACTCAGGCTTCTTTTTTAGCAAAATAACATATGACATCAGGGCCTTGAGGATCGAACTTGATTCATGGAAATTTCACATGGTAAATTCTTCTGGGGAAGAGTTTTTCTGTCCTCATAGCTGCCTAACTCAATCAGACTACTTATTGGGTTATAATGTGGTCTGGGTAGACCAGAAAGGCAAGGTGGTTACAAACATGGACTTTGTTGCTAGATCTCCTGGATTCAAACCCAGCTCTGCCACTTGCTAGCTGAGAGATCTTGGGCAAATTACTTAGCCTTTCTATCAGTCCATTTTCTTACCCATAATATGGGAAACATAATAGCACCTATCTCTGATGATCATTGTGATTATTCCACGATTTGATTTGTGTAAGGTAGTCAAAACAGTGTATGGTACAATATATACGCTATAAAAGCAAATATGTAAGTTATTAAGAGTATTCTAAGAAATGCCATTGTCATCATATTACTGTTGTGTGTTCCATCCTCCTCGAGGCTCACAGAAGACTACTGTCAGGCCTTCTGAATAAGGACTCCAAGCTTTCATTCTCTGGCTCTGTCACTTCAAAGCTCATTTTCTGACACTCCTCTAATATAGCTCTCCTATGCTCTCTCCAGCTATTCAAGTAATTGGCAATTCTCCAGATTCAATGTGCTATTTAATGCTTACTAACAATTTCCTACTGTCCAATTCAGCTCAAAAGTCATTTTCCTAAGTTTACTTTAGTATTCATTTGAATGAAAGAATGCTTAATATTTTGATTGGCTTTTGTAATGCTAAGAACAATGCATCCAAGTAAACACAGAAGTTTTTAAAAAAAATTTTAGAGTGGCTTTTAAAAATGCATTGTAGTGGCTCATGCTGAGGAAGCTGAGACGGGTGAATTGCTGGAGCTCAGGAGTTTGAGACCAGCCTGGGCAACATGACAAACACCATCTCTACAAAAAAATACAGAAGTTAGCTGGGCGTGGTGGTGCATGCCTATACTCCCAGCAACTTGAGAGGCGGAGGTGGGAGGATCGCTTGACCCCAGAAAGTTGAAACTGTAGTGAGCCAAGATCATGCCACTGCACTCCAGCCTGGACGACAAAGTGAGACCCTGTCTTAGAAAAAATTAATGAATTCATTAATTAAATAAAATGCAGTTTACTTTTAGCATTAGCTCTGTTACTCCCTCTCATCCTTCTAACCCATTCTGCTAAATCCTTCCTTACAGAGAGAATAGTTCATTGCAAAGAACATGTGAAAAAACAGAAAGTACAAACAAATCATTTCTGATAATTTAAGCATGTTCTCTACATCTTCCACATAAATATCTTGATTGATTTCAAGTGCAAGATGTTAAAAATAAGTGTGTGAAAGATGTTTTCACTCTCTTGAGAAATGTGCTGAATAAATACAAAATATTCCCAAGATGCATTTTGTTAATACATATGAACTCAATAATATTGACCTGGGAGAATAACAGATCGTTTGACCTTCCATGAAATGGAAGTCCTCACCTGCTTTCTCAGATGAATCTCAGAGTTAAGACTGGAAGCTTATCTTTTCTCCTAGGCAAAATGAACCTGGTAGGAGGGTTTTCTAAAGCACCATGGTTGATTTTCTTTTAAGGTAATTAAGTTTAATATCAATCCCATTTAGCGTTTTCTCTGGATTCTACATTTTTGTTATTCTGCTGTCAGTATGCAGAGGGACAAATACTTCCATGTATTAACTCAATATTATGTTTTCACTAGTGAAAGAGATCCTTGCCTTCACTGATTCTTCTGCTGAAGTGCTAATCAATATACACCTAAATGTTTTAGTAGAAACTGGGCTTTATATGTTTCTTTCCATCCTTGCTACTAACTTGAGCTTTGGGGTAAGGCATTTGCAGATGAGATTCTGTAGCTTGCATTTCTTTCTAAGGAAATGTGTCAGTTTTCAGGCAATATTCTCATATATTGAGTTTCAAGTAAACTTGGCATTTTCTGATAAATTTTAATGCTAGGATATAATAAAAGTAGTCATGATACTAAATTAAGACCTAACAATTGTGTAACTCTTGCTTTGCATAAACGTTATCTAGTAGCCAAAGGTATTACTGTGTGTCCAATGGATTATCTCATATCATTTCCGTTCTTCAAACAACCAGTATTAGACATTTCTTTGTTTCATTTTGTAGTTGCTGAAACTGACCCAGAAGTAACAAGTACATATTTGGCCCCAAATCATATTAGATATTAGTGGCAGTGCTGGATTGAGATAAGTACTTTTACTTTCAGTGTCTCTCTACCACCCTGGAACTGTATTATATGGTAACACTACCACCACAACCACAATTCATATTTACTGAGTACAGGACAAAGGACTTTATATGCATTGTCTCATTTAACACAAAGCTCACAAATGGTGATCTTCATGGTGTGGTACTAAGGCCAGCCGTTTCTACTGGGAACTGGTAGAAAGCATCATCTTGAGTTCCGTGCCAGACATATTGAACCAGAAACTCTGTGGGTGGGGCCCAGCAAGCTATGGTTTAATAAGCCCTGGGGTGATTCCAATGTTGAAATTTGAGAACCATTGTTCTAGAAACCCAAGGTTCAGAGGTGTTAAAGAAGAAGACAATAAAAAAGCAGAAAAATATAAACCAAAACAATATCAAACCATGGTGAGTTTGGAGTCCTGTTTTGACATTCTTACATTTTGCACATTGACAACATCCCATGGCTAAGCAGAGCTGGATGCTATATTGAAGGCTAGACTAAGTGCTTTTTAAGCACAAGCACATTTGAAACTGCATTTTTAAGGCTGATAATGTTTTCAGTCCAAACACAGTGAAGAAACTGGGAAGGGCATGAAGTACTTGCCACAATCTTCCAGCCTTCATAACTGGTAAGTAGTAAACCCACGGTTCAGACTCATGACTCATGATATTAAAAATAAGGGTGTGAAAGATGATTTAAACTCAGTCACTTTTCTGTTTATTTTTACAAGTTATTTTATTCATTTCTCTTCTCTTTCAACTTTTATTTTAGAATTGGGCAGTATATGTGCAGGCTTGTTACAAAGCATATTGCATGATGCTGAGGTTTGGAGTAAGACGAAACCCTCACACAGGTAGTTAACATAGTACCCAACAGGTAGTTTCTTGTCCCTTGACCCACTCTCTCCCTTCTCCCTCTAGTAGGCCCCAGTGTCTATTCTTGTCTATGTACTCAATGTTTAGCTCCCACTTAGAAGTGAGAACATGTGGTATTTGGTTTTCTGTTTCTGCATTATTTTGCTTAAGATAATTTCTTTCAGCTGCATCCACGTTGCTGCAAAGGACATGATGTCATTCCTTTTATGGCTTCATAGTATTCCATGGTGATGTGCTGATTTAAACTTGGTCACTCTTCTGTTTCTTAATGTTATTAAGAACAGTAGCTAAACTGGCTTTCAAATATCAAAGCAGAATCTTACAAACCCCAAAAACATATTCTAAGGTTTGCAAAAGGAATCTGTTGAGTATATGGGCAATTCCCAATTTGGTGATGCTTTTAAGATACAGGCCTGGAAACCAGATGAACTGGCTATCTTGTTTGTCTAAATTCAGCAGGTAGTTGCTTGTGGGAAAATCCTAAAGAATGGAAAGATTTAAGAAACCCAGCAGTAACACATCAGGCCTTCCTCAATTCTAAACCTGTCTGACAAACAGCCATGACACACCACATAGAGTGAAGGATGCCCATAAGAATAGTAACTGACCTGGGGCTGTCCCTGCACAGTGTACAAAGTGCTTCATACACATTGCCTGAGGTAATCTTCAGAGGAGACCTGTGAGGTGGATTATGCCCATTTAGCAGATGAGAGAACAAACTCTCATGGAGGAGGAACATAAGTTCACAAGGTAGCAAATCGTAAGTATTATTATCTCTTTTCCTACAGTGGAGAAAGTTAGACTCAGAAGTTAAGCACTGACCTGGTATCACACAGGTAGAATGATGCAAGCCAAGTTCACACTAAAATCACACGCCAGGTGCTGTGCATGCTTTACACAACTTGCTGAAGATGACAGCGTTTAGCATGGGGCAGAGTGGGAATCCTAGTTACTCTGATTCCACCACTTGTTGTCTTTTTCCCCCATGTTAACATATTACTTGATATTAAACATAATTTGCAAGGAATGATGGCACATACCAGAGAAATCTGTGACTCCAAGGGCAGGTCTAGGGGTAGGGAAAGGAATATGTGGAAGTGCACTGTCTCTCTCTCTCTCTCTCTCTCTCTCTCTCTCTCTCTCTCTCTCTCTATCATCTATCTATTTATCTATCATCTTTCTATCTCCATCCATCCATCCATCATCTTTAAGAAAGAGAGGCTGCAGAAAATCACACTGGCTCACATATATTCGAGATCTTATTAGGTCCAATCTGTGTAAACAGAATCTTGATACGACTTTTCAAGACTTACCTTAGTTGCAGTGGCCTTTGCAGATCACTAGCACCTTTGGGGATCCTATGTCAATCAATCTTGACGGCCAAATTTGAAAAGTTGAGTTTCTAAGGAAGAACCTGAATTTCCTCACTGAGTCCTAGGTCATGCATGGAAAGTCAGTAGGCCTTAATCCTGGGTGCCCATTAGAATTCATTGAAGAACTTAAAATAGATTCTGCACAGATTCTGCTTTAAATAAACTGGCACAGGGCCTGGACACTAGTATTTTTTAAACATTCCTTTGGAGATTCCAATGTGCAGCCAAGTCTAAGAACCAATGCTGTGCAGGGCACAGACCTGAACTCCTCAGTGTTATTGTTATTCCATATCCTTGTTGCCTCTGATGCATTTTACTAGATTTTGGAAGCTAATAGTTGTATGATGTTTCAATGTCTGGTCTCCTTCCAAATAATTGCTTCCCTGAATTTCTGTAGACGGGAAACCCACTGTCACAAAATGAGCAAATGATAACCATTAAGCATGAAAAGGACTTTGCTTTGTCTTACCCGGGGATTCCTCCAGATTCGAGTTTGTTTGCAATGTCCACATCCCAAGACCAGACATCAAACTGCCACTTCCTTAGTCCCAGAACACCACACAGCACTGAACCTGAGTGGATTCCAATCCTCATGTCAACATCGTGTTTTGTCCTTGACCGCACATACCTGTTGACATAGGTAAATGGAGAGACACATGTGTAAGACCAGAGTGGGCATCCTTGGCTCTGCGCTTTCAATGTCTCCTCTTCCATGAAGCCTTCTTGGGTTCTTTAATAACTGGAAAGAGTCTCTGAACATCCTTAGCCTTTCATCTGTACTTTTAAGGGCTCTTTGAAACTTTCCTCCAAAACCTGCTGTGTAAACTCTGTCTCAGGGAATGCCACCAGCATCTTTTTCTACCCAACATTAACCTGTGATAGATTATTGATTTCATACTTCATTCCACATTCCATTTCCAACCAAAATGTCAACTGTTTCCTTCTTTCTAGCTCTTCTGTGACTTAGTTCAGACCACCATCATGCCTAAGTCTGGGATCCCTGCCTCAGCCTCACCTCTTTCCAGCCCATACTGTCATGGTTTCTAGTTGCTCCTTCTAAACACAAATGTGACCTCATTACCCCATCACTCTCTTCTGACCTACTCCTTAGAGCTGTGGTCTCTGAAATAGAGTGTTTACATCCCAGGGTTGAGCTGGGTCATCCATTGAGATGAAGGAAGAAAATGTTAGAACTTCCATTCACAGCTTTTGTTACTTATTTTGAAAAACTTTACCAACATTTGATATATACATTGATACTGGAAACTTAGTGGGTACATGTCTGGTCATCCTCTGACTGTAAGTGTGGAGGAGGCATCTTGAGAAGACAGAAGAATTTCTACCATTGGATGATTTCCTGTAGTCATGAGCATTCTTTCTTTCAGAGTATTTTGAACAATTTTAGTTTATGATTAAATTATGTCATTTATACAGAAAATCAAATGGTAGAATATAATACTTTGTAGTAGAATTACTAGAAAAACCTTCATTGCCCCCCAAATGCAATGATTATCTGACCTCAAAATGCTTAAAAGAGTTGTCAGACTTAAAGTTGAGCTATTCATTTGTCTTTGACAAGAAGACAAGTGTTCCAGATTTGCTGATATTTTTGTGATAATGAGTCGCCATTAATATTCCTTCTAGCATATATTTGGAAAAAACCCACAAACTTGCTTATTTTATTTCTTCCAACTCAAGATGATGACTTAAGAATGAGCAAGAAAGTAACTGATTTTTAAAGAAATTGTTGCTCTGAAGAAAGCATTTTGAGAATGGAAGTTTGGAAATGTTTCCATCTTTTTAAGAATTTTGTTGTAAAACCAAAGTTGTTGTATCATCCATCAAAATTCTTAGAGCTGCACATTTACTAACGTTTAAATATCTTCTAAATGAAGATTTCTGATGAGGTCTGAACCCATTTATAAGGGCTTAAATCCATTTATGAGCTTGGAAAAAATTTATAACATATATGTTTAGCTCTGATAGCCATTGAAGCCTAGTATAGAAATAAATCGAACTTAAAACCTGATGTTTACATTATTATATCACAAACTGTTAAAATTTTTTTTAAAAAAGAATTATGTTTAAACCCATTGCTCTCTAATAAATGGTGAAAGCAGAAAAGTCTTAATTAAATTAAATTAAATTGTAATTAATTTAAAATATTTTCAAATTGTAATTAAATTAAAATATTTAAATTAAATTAAATAGTCATTAAATTAAAATATTTTAAAGTATTTTTATTTTCTCATTATCCTTTAAAATCCCTGTATTATGTATATTTTATGGTATATGTTTTTAAACATATGACTATAATTGATAGAATAGATAATAAATATAATTTTATTAGATATGCATATCTTCATATAATTTTATTGATAAAAATAGGGGATCAAAATATTTAGATACTACAGGTCTATAAGATACAATGGAAAATTCCTAGTCTGACACAAAATTCCTCATGATCTGTCCAGTGCCTTAGTTATTCCTCTCATTCCTCAGGCACACATTAGACTCCAGCCATCCAAACAAGAAGTCATTGTCTGAACCTTGTGTTCCTTCTTTCCTCTCTGGGACCATGGTGCTCCCTCAGTCTGGAATGTCCATTACCTCATTCAATAGAAGAGCTTCTACTCCATCTTTTAGAGTGAAGCTTGGTGTTACTCTGGCCAGTAAGCTGCCCTGATTTCCAAGTCTGACTTATATACCTTTCCCTGTGTTCTCATTGCATCCTGGGTGAACAATAATGAGGGTGCCATGTTATAATAACCTGTCTCCCCCGAACTAATTGAGAATGGGAACTTTGAACCACTACTCTTTATATTCCAATCTTTTTTTTTTTTTTAATTATTTTAAGTTCTAGGGTACATGTGCATAACGTGTAGGTTTGTTACATATGTATACTTGTGCCATGTTGCTGTGCTGCACCCATCAACTCGTCAGCACCCATCAACTCGTCATTTACATCAGGTATAGCTCCCAATGCCATCCCTCCCCATGATAGGCCCCAGTGTGTGATGATCCCCTTCCCGAGTCCAAGTGATCTCATTGTTCAGTTCCCACCTATGAGTGAGATCATGCGGTGTTTGGTTTTCTGTTCTCGTGATAGTTTGCTAAGAATGATGGTTTCCAGCTGCATCCATGTCCCTACAAAGGACACAAACTCATCCCTTTTTATGGATGCATAGTATTCCATGGTGTATATGTGCCACATTTTCTTAATCCAGTCTGTCACTGATGGACATTTGGGTTGATTCCAAGTCTTTACTATTGTGAATAGTGCCACAATAAACATACGTGTGCATGTGTGTCTTTATAGCAGCATGATTTATAATCCTTTGGGTATATACCCAGTAATGGGATGGCTGGGTCATGTGGTACATCTAGTTCTAGATCCTTGAGGAATCGCCATACTGTTTTCCATAATGCTTGAACTAGTTTACAATCCCACCAACAGTGTAAAAGTGTTCCTATTTCTCCACATCCTCTCCAGCACCTGTTGTTTCCTGACTTTTTAATGATTGCCATTCTAACTGGTGTGAGATGGTATCTCATTGTGGTTTTGATTTGCATTTCTCTGATGGCCAGTGATGATGAGCATTTTTTCATGTGTCTGTTGGCTGTATGAATGTCTTCTTTTGAGAAATGTCTGTTCATATCCTTTGCCCACTTTTTAATGGAGTTCTTTTTTTCTTGTAAATTTGTTTGAGTTCTTTGTAGGTTCTGGATATTAGCCCTTTGTCAGATGGGTAGATTGCAAAAATGTTCTCCCATTCTGTAGGTTGCCTGTTCACTCTGATGGTAGTTTCTTTTGCTGTGCAGAAGTTCTTTAGTTTAATGAGATCCCATTTGTCAATTTTGGCTTTTGTTGCCGTTGCTTTTGGTGTTTTAGACATGAAGTCTTTGCCCATGCCTATGTCCTGAATGGTACTACCTAGGTTTTCCTCTAGGGTTTTTATGGTATTAGGTCTAACATTTAAGTCTCTAATCCTAACCCTAACCTGAGAGAAACAAGAAATGGGGAAAGGATTCCCTATTTAATAAATGGTGCTGGGAAAATTGGCTAGCCATAAGTAGAAAACTGAAACTGGATCCTTTCCTTACTCCTTATATATTCCAATCTTAAGATTGTACTGTAGCTGGCACTTGGTTAACACTTAGCAGGTGTTTATTGAGTAGGTGGATGGGTAGATGCCTGAGTGTCCAATACTTTCTATTAATGTTCACATATATCCAAGCTTTTTGATAAAGAGTATAAGACCCTTGAAGGCATTATTCCTGCCTGAGTCAGTCTTATATTCCTCACAGCCTGGAGCATCCTGCTTTTCATACAGTAGGACTTAAGACATGCAGTGTCCTTTTTTGAAAAAAAAGTAAATAAAGAATGAATGAATGATTCCACGTACTCAATTGAATCTTTGCAGCCTCTGTTCTTAAGTTGTAAGGTAATGCAAAGCTATTTACATAAGAAAGTAAAGTTGAATTGGGTTGAGAATATGGAAATATTGAAATAAATTAGACATTAGACAGGCAACTTGTGAACATTAGAAGAAATGCTTGTAATTAAAGGATGAGGATTTTCTTGATCTTGTGAAGTTCCTGGTTTCTGGGTCATTGTTTTGACTTTAACTCTTAAGTTAAAAAGCAAATGGTAGTTTATATCTACTGACAATGAAAACTGTAGGAGCCATTTAAAAAAAATTTGACAAGGCAAGAGAAGAAATGGCATCCAGCCTTTGAGAGGAGCACATCAGTTTCTGATGCACTTTCCCAATGAGCTTCTGTGCAGGAGGTCATTGAGAAGGGTCATTTGTGCTATCCACAGCCATGCCCACTACTATATTATTCAAGTGTATAGCAGGATTGTCCTCCCTGCATACTTTTTTAATTTTTAATTTTTGTGAATACATAGTAGGTATATATATTTATGGGGTACATGAGATGTTTTGATTCAGGCAGGCAATGTGAAATAATCACATCATGGAGAATGGGGTATCCATTCCTCCAAGCATTTATCCTTTGAGTTACAAACAATCCAATTATACTCTTTTAGTTGTTTTAAAATGTACAATTAAGTTATTACTGACTATAGTCTGTTGTACTATCAAATAATAGGTTTTATTTATTTTTTCTATTTTTTTTCTACCCATGAACCATCTCCACCTCCCTGCTAACCCCCCGCTACCCTTCCCAGCCTCTGGTAACCATCTTTCTACTCTCTAGGTCTATGAGTTCAATTGTTTTGATTTTTAGATTCTGCACATAAGTGCAAACATGTGATGTTTGTCTGGATATTGATGTTGCTTTTGACCAATGAAATATGAGTAGAAATATGTGTCACTTCTGGGCAGAAGCTTTAAGACCATTATCAACAATACTCTTTAACATTTTTTTCTCTCCTGTATCCACCACCACGAGTCAAGGAGCTCCTGATGAAGCCTTCTTAACAGGGTCCTTGAATCAGGATAAAATGTGGTGTTATCCTGCTATCACACCCCCTCCTGTAATGAACATAAAGTGTGAATGAAAAATAAATGTTTACTGTTCGAAGTCACTGAGATTTTAGGGATATTTGTTACTATCCTGACTGGTACAGTCATGAGTCCCAATTGATGTTTTCCTTATTAC